AAGAATTTATTGACAAATCAGAATAACAGATTTAATATTACACAATTTAAGTAAATTATTTATATTAGTAATCTAAACGTTACATTATACAAAATGCCAAAATATAGTTTTTACATATAAAAATTCTTGAAATAATAATATTATATGATTTTTTTTAATAATTAGATTTGTTAGTATATAAAAATAAGTTATATATTATTGTTATACAAACTTTATTAGTTATCGGGAAAATAAATATGATGCAGATCTGTGATCCTAGAGATTTTTAACAAATTTTACGATATCTCATGATCTACTGATCAGAATTTAACGAATCCAGTACTATTCAAACCATCTCAATGAGACGGATCAAATGGTACTAAATTCGTTAAAATTTGATCACTGATCACGAGATAATCGCATTTAAGTAAAATTTGCAGCCATCTCATGATTTTGTTAACCAGTGGTCCAAATTTAATGATTTTGATACCATTCAATTCCTCTCAATGAGACGGTTCGAATAGTACTGAAAACATTAAAATCAAATCACTGGTTCACAAGATATTTGCAGAATACATTTCACGACGCAGTTTTGCGCAGATCTGCATAAAAAAATCTGCAGATCTGCGCAAAACTGCACCGCAAAATGTATTTTGTGAATATCTCACGAACCAGTGATCCGATTTTAACGTTTTTGGTACCATTCGAGCCGTCTCATTGAGAGGAATCAAATGGTATCAAAATCATTAAATTTGGACCACTGGTTAACAAGATCGTGAGATGGCTGCAAATTTTACTTAAATGCGATTATCTTGTGATCCAGTGATTGAATTTTAACAAATTTAGTACCATTCGATCTATCTCATCGAGATGGTTCGAATAGTACTGGATTCGTTAAATTCTGATTAGTAGATCATGGGATATCGCGAAATTTGTTAAAAATCTCTAGGGTTACAGATCTGCGCAGATCTGCACTATATTTATTTTTCTAATAGTATTATAAAATTTTTATATATAGAAGTTTTTACATTATACACAAATTTTTTTATTATATAGTTATAGATATATATTACTAGGGATAAGCAAATCAAATATTTTTTGAAACTACTGCAGCACATATTATAGTTTATTGCTAATACAGGCCAGAATTGTAAAATTCCAGAATATTCTACCTACACAGTATACTATAATATAATATAGAAATTTTTATAAATTCTTTAAAATTTAAAAATGTTAGAAAACTTAAGTTAATACTTGAAATTTTTGATTTTTTGTGAAAATTTTATATCTAAAATTTTTAGAACAAGGCCAACTATATAGCATACATTAAGTTAAATAAAAGTAGTATACATTTTGCATACAGTATAATATTTTTTTGTGTACAAAAAATTTTTATATACATAGCACACATGTGCATATCAAATTTTATTCACTGAGCCAGACTTATGAGTTGAAAAGAAAATCGGTATCAGGATTAGTTGTGAACCCAATAAGAGCAGAGTATATAGTAGGCAACCAATTAGAAAAGTTGGACTTGAGATACAGATTGTGTTATAGCAGTACTCAAAAAGTAATATAAAATATGAACACAATAGTAGCAGACAATATGTACTAATTGAGAAGAAATTACTAAACATGCAGGTGAGCACATGTGTAGAATATATATCATTCTGTTAGATTTACTACAAAGATAAATGCTTTTCAATAGTTAGCTAAAGTTTTAGAGTCTTTATACAGTAAATTACTGTTTCCAAAAGAAGTATATTAGAAGAAAACATGTGATATTAGTTGAAGCTAGAGAGTTTAAATAAATAGCTTCATAGTTAAGCTATAGATATGGTATTTAGTGTAGAACTCTAGCATAGCACTAACACTCTGGTAAACTACTTAAATTAGACAACCAAAAGTTGTATATATAACTAGTTGTACTCTTGTAATACTAATATGACATGTAAAGCTAGTTTTACTAACAATGGTCTAACTATTTAAACTAATAAAGTGCCAAGAGCCTAAGTGATCACCTTAATATATAAAATAAATAAATAAATAAAACTTTAATATAATAAAAGTTTAAAATTTTTGTATTAAAATTTTTACTATAAAAATTTTTTTTTAAATTTTATATTTTTGTCTATAAAAATTTTCACTTCTAAAATAAGTTTTAATATTTATTAGTAAATTACTAAAAGTGCAATATAAAAGTTGTTATTCTTTGTATAAACTACAATATTGTATTAGAAACTATATTTTTAAAACTAATATTTAAAGAGTTTGCTAAAAAATTGTATATTATTTTTTTAGTTAAAAAATTTCTTTAAAATTGTTTATTTTTAGCTTATAAGTAATTTAAAATTTTTGGTTTATAAGGCTATACAAATTTAATTACTTGGTTTTCATTACATGAACTTTTAAATTGACTTGGCCAGCTGGCTTTTTTTTAAAAATTTCATATAAAAAAATTTATAAAATTTATATAAAATTTGATATTCTATAGAATAGGTGGGCAGACTCCACAAACTCAACAACTCCGCTAAATATTTATTAATGATTACTAATTAGTAGCAAACTTTATTTTTTATATTGCCCACCTATTCTATAGAACATCCTAAAATTTTTTTTTAAACTCTACCCAATTATTAAAACATATAAAAAAATTTTTTTTAAAGTTCTTAATTTTGACTTGGCCAGGTTATAAAAACCAATTAATTAATTTTGCATGGCCTAATATAAATACAAATATTGCAAAAATATAATCTTTATTTTTAAATATTTATATTAAATATTTTAAATAATTAAAAAAGTAGATCAAAGCCAGAATATATATAGCTTGGATAACTGAGCTTGAATAACTAAGCTTGCTAGTAAAGTAAAGCTATAATATACTGTAACATCTCTAATACTATACCTAATTTGAAAAATGTGCGAGATATAGAAAGGTTAAAGCAAGTATTGCTATCTAGGCAATAGTATTATTAATATTAGATAATACTAGTAAAGTACTAGGGCATAAAATTACTTGGGTTAATATAATTGAGATAGAATTAGTTAAAGAGTTTAAATAAGTAATCCTAGTTTGGGTTGCAGGTACAAGCATCTAGTGTAGAAGGCGTCAAAAGTACAGTGGATAGTTGTACTCTCACTGTGAATACAATTTGTATAAGGTCAAGTAACCATATATAATATATTTTAAAAACATAAACTCAAGTCTTTAGCAAAAAAAAACAAAAAAACTTCTTATTATTTAATTTTTACCAGTATATAATAAATACAATATATATATATTTGTGTAATATATAACAACTATATATATTAATATTAATATTGCAGTAACCTGTATACGTCTATATAGATGTAGTCGGAGTATTAATTTTTAAATTCTAAAAATATAAACAAGAATTGTTAGTTTTTGTTATTATAAAGTTCAAAATCTATAATATAGTAAATCCGTTTTACCTGTTCTCAAACCATCCAAATTTAGTTTGATAAATAGATCGGAATTTATAAATATTAATAAGATCATTTATAATAAAAGCAGTTTTTTTTTTTTTTTTTTTTTTGACATTTATTGTAAAATTTTTTTTTTTTTGAAATTTTCTCACGACAAAAAATTTACAATTACTCAATGTCATGAATTTAAGTTGGATGACAAAATTTCTAATTACTAATTGTGAATTCACAATCGATAATACTCAATTCTTAAAATTCAAATTAAATGGCACACATAATTACAATTGCATGTTAAAATAATTACAAAGAAATTAAAATGCAAGTAATGTCGTCATATACTTGACTAAAATCCTTAAATAACGTAGTATATTTCTCCCGACTACCTATTTTTTTAACAACGTTCATGACAGATTCTCCATTGTCCAATAAGCCACCAATAAATTTAGCGACTTCATTGTTCTGTTCATCTATTCTTGACTCTTTTAAATGGTCAAAAAGCCCATCACTGCTTATCAATAAGAATCTATCTCCACCACATTCGGCAAATTTACCCAATTTTCTAAAAGTAACGTCCGGAATACAATCAATCACTCGTCTAGATCGATTTAATTTGAAGAGTAAATCACCGCAGGTTGCAGCTACATTAATCGACCAATATTTTCCGGTTTCATTTATGTAGGGAACACCATCTTCATTTTCACTATCTTGGCCTTGAAGTCTAATACGTGCGTTCTTTAAACTTGGTCGAGTGCGACGTTGTCTAGGAGTAGGATCAAACTTAATTGGATCATCATTACTATCAACAAATATGCCACCATTTGAATATATTTTCAAGGCAAGACGTTCAAGGTAAGGTTTATGATCTTCGCTTGCAAATTCTACTGACCATTTATTGTTTTTTCCTCGGCATGCAAGAAAGGTTCGTGAATCACCAACATTAACATTGATTAACCAATCATTAATAAATATATTAATAATGACAGTTGATCCGTCATCTACGGGTGGCATTGAATCAGTATCATTTAGAATAAAAGTAGATCTTCCATCTACGAATGGTATTGAATTAGAATCGCTTTGTTTTTCTCTTCGAGATTTCCAGCGACGAAATTCTACACGTTTAGCCTCAATGTATTCGTCGTCCAATTTCCTAACGAGATGTTCCATTTGTTCTCTAAACCATTGTTGATCATCTTTGTTGTCAAAATTTGCTGGATGATCCTGTAGCAGTTCTTGGATACGATTTGGCACTCTTGAAATTAAAAATTCCGAGCATCCAGAACCTCCGTGCCCATCCGCCAAGCAAAATAATCGGGCCATGAAGGAACCATCCGTTCGCCTTAGATCTTTTACGCAAAATGCATCTTCGCATTTTGATTTTGGATATCTATTTTCACTGCGTCTAAGTCGACTAAGTCGAGAATAAGAGTAACCTGTTTCTTGAATAATTGCAAACGATTTTGGTCCATTAATGGTATTTATATCGAAGTCTATAGGTCCCTTTGTTATCATGAGTGATGACGGTGGTGATGGTGGTGAGGAGGAGGAGGAGGAAGAAGAAGAGGAGGTAGTTGTGGTGGTGGTGGATGAATCGATGATATCGATCCTATAATTATTAAAGCATTGTATTTAAAATTCATATAAAAAAAAAAAAAAAAAAAAAAAAAAAAAAAAAAATTCAAATCATACTCATTAGTCATTGGTTCTTCTATTACGCTTTCCGGAGTGCCGTAATCTTCAGAAGGTTGGTATTTTGTACTCTTTTTTTTAACACTTGGCTCTATTAAAAATTGAGAATCATGTTCATTATGTTCATTATCCGTCAAATTTATAGGAGGAGACGTATTGTGGCTAATCTTTATTTTTTTCGTTGTTATAATATTAACATCGGAATCAATGGTGGTTCTTTTCGTCGTACCCCGACTTGATGCTGTAGAACGAGTTGGTTTCGTGGGAGATCGTTTCTTATCTTTTGCTAAACGAGGAGGATCAGGAGGAGGGGTTGGAGGTATAGTGTTCATCGAGTCTCGAATTCGTGAATCCGTAAATAAATGCAAGGAAAGTCGGTAGTATGTTAAATTCTTAATTTGATGTTTTTCAATCGGTTCTTCACAACCTCTTGACTTCGCAAGTTTCAACGCTGTAGAGATAGTGCCTTGAATAGTGGATGTAGGAGTTTTCCCGCTGTTTTTCAGCAGAAATTAGCGATTTTCGGTTCGAATAAAAAAAAAAAGATATTATTTCGTGCCAATGAATTCGACAAGGCTTAACGTACCTAAGTTGACCGTCATTGGTAGTAAGTTTCCATTCTCGAATGCGATCTATTATATTTATTTAAGTTGTTGCAAGTGGCACCACGCGACATTTCTAAACCAATTTGGCTGCCACATGATCAAGCTTACCGACAATGTCTGGAGCTCTCATCCATTGATTGCTGTTTGATAGTAGGGCCTTAACTATAGCAGCGAATATACCGTTATCGCGCTGTTCCGCTTTAAGTTCAAGTCCTTGGAAAGTTCTTTCGACGGACGCTATATCAGGGGTTTGTATATCGTGCATGTCGTTTGTTAAGAAGTGTGAAGAATAGAATACAAAGTATTTATGATATTTATAGAGATGTAACTGATAACAATCACGTGGTTAGCTATCCGTGTCTCGCACAAGCCAGAAAGAAAGGAAATTTTGAGGGTCTGTTAAAAACCAGGTGCCATCGTATGTCGATCAACCAATCAAATCGGGGATTTTTATTTAACCCACACGAAAAACACAAGAATGAATTGTTTAAACTTATCTTTATATGATAGCATGCCATTTTACCAGTATTTTACCTATGCCTTTTTACCCTAAACTGACCTAACCCTAATATTATTAATTAAATTTAGGGTAACTATTCGAGGTACTTGACACACAGTTCTTGTGTAATCATGTGAATGAATCCGTAAAATAAAATTCTACCTTTTATTACAATATATAAACAATATAATATTACTCAATATTTTTTTGTATAAAAAGTTCTTTTCTTTTGGTCCTCAGCTTACGGTATGAATGCCATATCAACTTATAAGGATCGCAACTTTATAGCTGTCATAGGAGACGAGGTAAAGAATTTAATTTACGTCGATTTTTAATATTTAAGACTTTGCTTAAACCTATTTTAACATAGGACTCAGTCACTGGACTTTTATTAGCTGGTGTTGGCCATGTCGACGGTGCTAATAAAAACTTTCTCGTTGTTGACTCTAGTAAGACATGTCCTTTATGATTTAAGACCTTAATATTTCACAAATACACTATATAACATAAAATTTCTACGTTTAGAAACACCATTATCAAAGATAGAAGAAGCCTTTATCGAATTTACTAAAAGAAAAGATATTGCAATCATTCTAATAAATCAGCATGTCCGTTTCATGTTATCAGTTTTTCGTTTTTAGATGATTTCAAAATAATAACACAATCTTTGATTGAATCAGTAGATTGCAGAATACATTCGTCAATTGGTAGATGATTATGATCAGGCTTTTCCAACAATTCTTGAAATTCCATCTAAAGATCATCCATACGGTACGTCATACAAAAATGTTTCATTATTTTTTTTATATTTGGTGTTACAATTAATTTTAAATTGCACTACCAGATCCGGAGAAAGACAGTGTTTTAAAACGAGTTCAACGTCTTTTTGGAGAATAATGTAATATGGACTATGAATTTTTATTATCATGTTTTTATAATTATATTTTAATACTTGATTTTTATTTCATTCTTACATATTGTTATGATTAAATTATCTTTATAATTAGTTATTACATTGTCTATTTATGTTTTTACTAAATTCATAACAGAATGTACTTTTCATTTAATGACCTAAATACGAGTATTATGAATTGTTTTTATTCCGAAGGAATGCCTTCGTATTCATTATACCCGAGAGCGAGGTTTATATTCTGAATTATAAAATCAAGTTAGTTTTACAAGAAACGTGAAAACAATAGGCAATACAAGATAATTTGTCATTAAACAAACCTGTAAAGCTTGAGTAGCAGCACCTTTTAATAAGTTATCAATAGTTGTTATGACAACAACTCTTTTACCTGATGAATGTACACCGAATCCGCCAATTTTCACAAAATGTTTTTTAGAGATATCTTTTACAAGTGGTACATCGTCTACAACTTTGATAAGTTTTTCTCCAGCATATTTTTGTTCATATAATTCGCGTATTTCCGCAGATTTGAAAGATTTTGAGAGGGGAATATTAACAGTCAAGGTTATTCCTTGGAAGAAAGGTGCGACGTGTGGAATGAAATTTACGGTTCTTCCCAAATGATATGAAATTTCACGTTCATGAATATGATCTGTGAGAGAATATGGTATCATATTGTTTTCGAGAAATTTAGGATCATTTTTAGGAGATGGTTTGGTTCCAGCACCAGAATAGCCAGATACACCAAAAACGGTAGGGGTCTCGGATATGTATGGTAACAAGGGAGCTATAGAAAGTTGAGAACCAGTAGCATAACACCCAGGATTTGATATTTTTTTGGTTTGACGAAAAGATTCACGATTTTTACTAAGTTCTATATAAAATTATTAAAATTTAGAAATAATAAAGGATTTAGAAAATAAATAAATAAATTTTCATTTCTTACCGGGTAAACCGTATGTCCATTCACTGTCGAATCTATAATCGGCACTTAAATCTATAATTAAACTTTTATCTGCTTGACCTTCATTAATAGCTTGCACAAATGGCGTACATACACCGTTTGGCAAAGCCATAACCCAACAATCAACTTCCCCATTTTTCTGCATTTCTTTCATTTGTTCCGCTTTCAAATTTACATATTTAATCTTTTCTTTAGAATATCCAGAGAGCTCTTGACCTTCCAATTCACGAGAAGACACATGAGACAATGAGATATGTGGATGATTGTTTAACAATGACACAAAATTTTGGCCAGTGTAGCCGCGTGCACCAATAAGAGCAACTTTTGATGATGTGGAAGTAGCATATTGACGGCGTAATAGGCTTGATATTGAAAATGGATTATTCTTATTACATTGATTATATTGATTATATCGTGCAAAAGTGGAAAAACCTCTGGAGATATTAGTGAATGCTCGACCTGAAGATGATGATTGAGTCGTATTTGTGTTTGGCAGCGTAGCAACAAAATCTTTAATCGCAGCGGAAACTTCTTCAACATTTATGCCATACCAAAACAATGTTTTTCCATCTATTGTATAACTACCATCTGATCTAGAAAAGTGCCAAGACTTATTTTCATCATGATCATCAATAGCCCAAAGTAATCGAGGATTATCCTTTTGAATATTATTCCATACATTATCAATTACATTACTGAGTACACTATTTTTTGTAGCAACGAATTTCTCAAGGAAAGGAATAGCATTTGGGTTAGTTTTTTCTTGGGTTACAATCGCCAAGACGTCATAAGGTTCATCGCTGTAGACTTTATAAGATTTTTTGGAAAGGGTTGATACAAAATCAGAATTTGGGTTTATTTGCAATCTCTTTTGCAATTTATTTTTATCCATTTCATCTAATGAGTTAAACTTAAAAAGACGATGGCCACGACGAATTAAAGTTCCAGCTCCACTATCTGTGAAAAGTTCCTTCGGAAGTTGTTCTACAGCTGTAATTGCTACAGATGATGATCGAGGAAGATGATCAAGAAGGTCTTTGATCTCTTTCAATTTCAATCGCGTTCCATGTTTGACCCATGGTTGTGACATATAATGATCATATTCCTGAAAGAATATTCCATAAAATCATAAGACTTTTTTTTTTTTTTTTTTAATTAAAAAAAAATGTAAAAATACCTCATCAATATTTATTGAATCAATTTTTTTTTTAGTTTCTTCATTTATAAGTCCACCTTTTTCACTAAGGAAAATAATTTTTAATGGTTCGAGAACCTTTGCCAATTCCCCAGCAGCCACATCAGCATTTACATTCAATATTTGTCCAGAAGGAGTTTCAGCCAAGCTTGTCAAGATAGGTAACGCACCTGCTTTGATACTAGCATTTACGATATTTTTATTTATTCCAGTAATTTGTCCAACATAACCGTAATCTTCACGACCCAAATAATCAGCGATGAATACACCACCTGTTATAGGTCGTGCACGAGTTCCTAAATTTTCTAACGCTTCAACCAATTTAAGATTTTCTTGTATAAATATGGATCTTGCGATTTCAAGAGTTTTTGCATCAGTTATTCGAATACCATTTTTATATTGAGGTTCTATTCCAGCCTTTTCTAATTCTATATTGAGTTGTGGACCACCCCCGTGTAATACAATTGGATATAGCCCAACACGGTTTAGAAACGAAAGTGAAGAGGCAAGAGAATCTATTTCATTACTAATAACAGCACCACCAACTTTTATTACGGCAAATTTTTGAGATTCAACTGATGAAAATTGACGGAGATATTGTTCAGCTTCTTTTTTCGAACCAATATTATATAAAAGTCTTATAATTGTTTCCTAAAAAAAATAAATAAATAAATATATATATATTTGTATGTATGTAAAAATAATGAATAAATAGATAAAATAAATAAATCAAACTCTGAAAATGGGAAAAATACTAAATAATCAAACCTTTTCATGTTTTTGCACGTCCAGAGAATATAAACGACTTTGTTGTTTTGTAAGTTTTACAAGAGATTTCTTTTGTCGTTGTAGGGTAGGCAAAAAACCCAAACGCCTTGCATTGAACGAAACTGATTTTGAAAGTACAGATTTACCAACTTTCGATATTATCATGATTAAATTTTTTTAAGGATAAAAAATTTAAACCGAAAAATAAGAGGAAGCGGGATAATTTTGTACATAGTAAGTTTGGACGAACTTTTATTGTTTATAGGCGAGATTGATAACGATAAAATAGATGGCAAATAAAGCAATTTATAATATATATAATAAAATATTTACAGTACAAGATAAGGTAATTTAAGATATAGATATGTAATGTTTACATGCAGCATTAAGATCTTGATTTTTTTAATGATAATCATGCACGAATTTTGATCAACGAATTTTGATCAGTTTATTTAGTTTTAGCCTTTTTCTTTTGTGGAACAATCACATTGGATTCGTCAATCTCAGAATTTTTTTCGACCTTTTTCTTTTTTCCCGATGACTTTGAAATTTTATTTTCATTAATACCAAGACTTTTCACAAAACCTTTTGGAATATTTGCATCGGCCAATGTTTGTTTACCAATAAGCTCATATAGAAGAGCGATTTCCTTTTTATAAATTTCAAAGTCATCGTCAGGTACAGGAGTCTCTAGAATTAAAGGTATTTCATCCATACGACTATCATTCATAATTAATCGAAAAGGTTCCAAACCCAAATAGCCTTTGAATTTATAAAAATTTTTGATTGATTACTTGGAGAATTTATGAAGATGGTGTAAAAATGATGGTTCTTAAAAAAAAAACCTTACCTTTACCAATGTTTGCATGTCGATCACGACGGGAACCTAGTTCCTTGAGAGAATCATTCAAGTGCACACCTCTTAAATATTGGAAACCAACATGACGAGAGAATTCGGTCATAGTTTCTTCATATCTTTCCTTTGTGCGAAGATCATAACCCTAATTAGAAATTGTTTATGAATAAAATTTGAATATTGATGATAAACGTTTGTGAAAATTAATTATACGTATACAATACTTACCGCAGAAAACGTATGGCATGTATCAATACAAACACCAATACGTTTCTTATCTTATAATCATAAAATTAATTAATTATATATCATGTTATATATAGTGAATATTAAATTCAGGAATATTTATAAATGTAATTAGATACATACTTTTGACCAGTGAAATGATTTTACCAAGTTCTTCAAATTTTGATCCCACAGAATTTCCAGCACCCGCCTGAAGTGTTATTTAATTTATTACTGTATTAATATTATAAAATAAATTTGATAAATTTGGCTTACCATATTTTCAACTACACAAATGACACTTTTTGTCGCGTCGTGTGCTCTGTTAATACAATCAGCGATATGTTGTATAGATTCCTCTAGCGTACATTGTCCAACAGTTGAACCTGGGCTTTAGAAAAAATTATAAGATGACTATCAAAAATATATAAATTCAAATTTTAATTACTGTATACTCACTGAAAATTGTACAAAGTTAGTCCCAAGATTTCACATCTTTTTAAATCTTCAAGAAAAGCTTGATAACTTTTTTCACGCTTTTCTTGATCAGGATTACCCAAATTGATTAGATAACTTCCATGAGGTAGCACAGAACCAGGCGGATACATATTCTCTTCACAACCTTCACGAAACATGGAAACATGTTCAGGATCAAGAGGTTGAGCATCCCATCTTCGTTGATTTCGTAGGAAAATGGCAAATGCATTTGCTCTTTAAGACAGAAAGAAACAAAAGGGTTAAAAAAAATTCGTAATTTTGATTATCAATTCGTAAAAAAGCCTACCCAATGGATAAACTATCTTGTATAGCATTATGGATTCCTCCTGAAATGCTAACGTGAGCACCAACCAATTTCTTAGTACCCGAAACCCTTGGCGCGTAAATTATCTCATGTTTTCTTTCACGAACTTTTTTTGTTGGTTTTTGAGAATCCATATCCTTGTTTTTATTGTTTTCACGTTTTTTATTTTCAACCTTAAGCCCATTTTCCTGTTTTACAGTCTCAATAGAAATGTCACGATCTTTAGTAGTTTCCTTCTTAATCGCTTTTTTCACGTCTTGATCAGAAGCTTTTTCAGTGAGCTTCTTAATGGCTGTTGGTTTCGTTTCTCCAGACTTTAGAAGTGCAGAAACGCGTGCTGAACGACGTACATACGACATTTTAGGAAACAAAATATTTTAGGCCTTCGTGAGAATATTCATAAATATCCTATCATGGTATATACATATATATATGCTATCTATTTTATCGCGTGACTAATAAATACATGTGTCGTCGTTTCTTTTTTTACATTACGTATAACAATAGTGATAATGCTTCCTGAAAATTTACAAATAACAGTATTTCCTACAAAATCACTAATCAAATATCATGAATCCATTATTCATCAAATAGAGACGATGGAACGTAAAACGTTTCCTAAGAATGAAATTATGGCAATTAAAGAAGAAATAGCAAAAAAAACCAATACATTGTTAATTACATATAATTTATCCACAGAAAATGAAAAGCAGAATTTTGAAAATAATAAATCTAATAAAAGAAATAAAGAATCATCTGAACGCAAAAAAAATGATGTTTCCAAAAAAGTTATAAAAATCTTCGGATATCTCATATATTCTCATATTTCTTTATCTACTTCACCCGTAACAAGAATATTAAAATTATGCATTCATCCATCATCAAGAAGGAATGGCTTGGGAAGCATGCTGTTGGAATATACCATTAAAAAAACAGGTGTACCTCAAAAATCTAGAGCAGACTTATATGTAGACACGGAAAGATTGAATGCTATTAATCTGTATCATAAGGTAGGATTTAAGATTAAAGATCAAGTAAAAGACTATTATGAGATTGGAAGAGATGCATGGCTTATGGAACTGTCATAAATTCTGACTGCTCATTATTTTTACGAACGTCTCGTTACAATCATTACAATGGTTACAATAGATAGCATTATTATTATACTGTTTCATTGTTTCTTGTTCTTTTGATTTGAGCAAAAGATACTTTATTTATATATAGCACAATTCTAAAAGAATGGACTTATAATTTATTAAGTATAGAAAAAAAATATTATTATATATAATTTGTTGTAAATAATTTTGAATTACAATTTGGCTTTAGGACCTGTCAAACTCTTTAATACACCATCTAATTTAGTGGCCAACATCATATTGCCCTTGATTTTGAGTTTACCCGACATGAAAGCCTTTTGACCTAAATAAAACATGGAACAAAATAATTATGAATTTATATAAACATCATAACAATCTGATAAAAAATTAAGTACATAGAAAATTATTAATTTACCATTCAATTTCCCTGAAGCTAATTCTACAAAAGTGTCATCATCCATTTCCATAATGATATCAGGTTTAGCAGAACCTTTTCCGGTTTGAATAGAGCCTTCCTTCTTCAGATCTAAGGTCCAAATTTGTTCCTTTCCTTCTGAATTCTTTATTTTTAATTCAAATGTGGCCTTGACCTATAATATAAATTTGATTTTTAAGTGCCCGAAAATTAAATATAATTAATATAAATTTAAAAAATTTTATAAACCTTTTTAATAGCATCATCTTTAAGTTTTTCATTAGAAACATTGGTTTTTATCTCGTCAAATATAGCGGCAGATTTAAATCCTTTAATTGTCATTTTGCTTTTTTGCTTTTGAAAAAATCTGGGAAAGGAATCTAACGTTAATTTGACGACGCACAACGCTTAAAGTTTTATGTATCGGAATCGTGTAACCTGGTCACGGTCTCGATTTGATTTACTAACGTTAATCAATGGCGTACGTATGATTTATAATTTATCGATCAGATAATTTAGATATATAGAAATCTTTAGATAACTTGTTAACGTTAATAGATTTTTTTCTTGATGCATGCATGGCTAGGGTTAGAGTACGTACGAATAACGGGCATAAGCGTTATTTCGAAATCTTATCTTTTAAAAATAGCATACTCAATTTGTAACACCATCGAAATAACATATGACAGTCCACTATGATCTTTGGAACAACTTGCAAGATCAACTCGTATTTTATTAAAACTAATTCAAGTGAACACATATCTACATACTATCAGAACTTTATCCCCTTTGTATTACAGGTGGACGTTATTTTGTAATTTTAGTAACTAGTTTAAACGAATGATGAGAGTATTAGCGTATAAAACCCATATATGAATAATGAGAAACGAAGCTTTCCACCTATACAGACTAAATCTCTGGTCATTTTGGGGCCGTTATGGAAATAAGGGCGTTATTCTTCGTTTTCATGATGATTATTTAACGACTTACCCTATTTGCGCGAGTAACACAAACCAAAAAAAGGGGGATAGTTATATATATGCACTGCATTACCGGCGATGCAAAACATTCATTTTTGATACACCTGCACCTACTTTTTTGATACTGATCGACATGCAGATCCCGGTAAAAAATAA